GCTCATCAACGCCGCTGCCTGCTGTTGCTGTTACCTTGCCTTTGCCTGGTCTTTGGCCAAAGTTGTCGCCAGGTTTTTGCCGTGCTCGACTCGGCAATGTCATTAACTTGGCCAACGCCGCCTGCTCCAGCTACAGCTCCGACTCCGACTCCGACTCCAGCGGTGCCATGTGCGCTGACATGGCTACATGATGCGCGATTTGAGCTTTAATGTTCATTCACTTTGTGGCTTTTTCTGCTTGCTACAGCTGCTGCTGCTGCTGCTGCAGTTGCAACTGAAGCTGAAGCTGCTTCTAATTTTGCCAAAGCACAAAAAAAAGCGCGTGTACAATTATAAAATGCATTTCATTGCTAGCTAGATGGCTATTTGCTGGCCCATCCCCATCCCCATCCCCATCCCAGTCCAGCCCATCCCCAGACGCAATGACTTTGATTTCGTGTCGCCAAATTGTTGAGTTGCCGCCGCCTCAAACCGAGAGGAAGAGGTTCATTAAAAAAGTATTTCAGCGCTGATTTTGCCACACATTTTTTGATTGCCAACTGCCAGGCAGTCAGGCAGTTGGCTCCTTGACTGTGGTCAGTGGCAGGCTGAATCGATCGAAACAAGTTGCTGCCGCCGCCTGCTGCAACAAAAAGTTGACCAGCAGCTGGGCCGCTCCTCATCATCCTCAGCCCATTCCCGCACTCCACCCTGCATCATCCCCATCTCCATCTCCATCATCTCGCAGCGAAGTGATTACCTTTGGGGTACCCTCCGCTGCCACTTGCACTCAAGATTTGTGGTTTAGGGAACCCTCCGTTTCGGAAGACCGACGAAAATATTCCAAGGCAACTTCCAGCGAATAGCTCAAGTGATTGACACTCAGGAAATGTGAGGGAATTTGATGGGCTTTTACGATTAGCCGCTTAAGGCATTAGACAAAATGAGAATTTGCATATTTTTGCCTTTGCCTGTATGGCCAATGCATAATTAGAATTCATAGACATGTGTCGTGGCCGTGGACAACAACAGTCGCAGCGAAGTCGCAGTTGCCAGTGTTCCTCTCCTACTGTTGAATTCATTTGGCTTAAAGGTTCATTGACGCCTCCCGGAGAACAGCGGAGAGAACAGGAATCAAAACGAAATGCGCCAAAAATAGCTAAAATACAACTCAAACAAACCAGTTACAGCCCAATGATACACCAAAGCAGAAAAAATAAAAACCTACAGACACGAAGCCATGAAAAACAGCGAAAGAAAAAGACAAAAAAAACGGACAACAGCGGCAGGCAAATTTTCATAATTTTTGCATTTTTATAGAACATACGAGGAAAAAGAGAAGTTGCTATTTTTCCATTCAAAGGGACAGTTACCCTGTACTGAACAAGCAAGGAGGAGTTTGTAAGAAAACCTTGAAAAGTTATTAACTCGATTATTTCGATGGGAAACTACAGCTTTTGAGGCAACCCTTGAAACATTTTTGCTGCATCTAAAATGGTTGACTTGCTTTGATATTCATCTTCCTCTCCTTAATTTTATTTTGTGGTTACATTGCCTCAACCTGTAGAGCTCTTTGATGCTTCCTAAACTGGGTAAGCTACACTTGTTTGTTGGATCGAGGGATTTCTGATCCTTGTGCACAACTTCAAGGACTCGCTCAGGTATTCTTAATGGTTTTACATAGCTCTGGACTTCATCATAATTAATATTTGCATCAACGATGATACAGTCCTTCATTTGTCTCAAGCTTCCGTTTATAGAGTGGATATTGGAACGACTCGTTTCCGTTCAAACTCTAATTTAAATATACCTTCCCAGATGTTCACATCTTAACATCCCAGTCAGCAGCTAGTCTGGCTGCATCATTAGATGCTTTGGATACCGGGAGCAGCTCTCTCCATCTACTGCTCGTGTGTGTGGTCTGAGCTAATTATCTAGCTGCGGGATTAGCCATCGAAAGTGCCTTAGAAGATGGCTGGCACACATTCCACTCGTTTCCATTCGATTTCATTGATGGCATCGCGCGGCGCTCATCGCTCAGGCTCGTTCATTCATGCCGGCTCCGGGCAGGCCTTGGGTGCCGTGCCGCGTCCATCCTGGCCTCTCCCGGTCGGCCCAGTCTGTGTGCATTTGGCTACTTCAGTTGCTCGAGCTGCCTCTGTTTGGGCCACACCTTCCTCAACGCCACGCTAATCACGAGCAGTCGCTGAAGCGCCGCCAGCAACAGCGCAGAAGGAGGAGGAGGTGAAGCAGAAGCAGAAGCAGAAGCAGAAGCTGCCACAGCGCGTGGATAAATCAAAATGCAGTCGCAAGACGTGAGCAGAGCCGCCTTCTTTGCCCAAACTTGCCCAACTCTCCAGCCTGCACCCATCTTCCACTCTCTTCAGTCGAGTTCGTGGCGCATCCTCCACCCTTCAGTGCCCCATCATCATCCCAATCGCCAGCGCTGAACAGCCATCCACTGCCTGGAGACTGTCTGCATAATCCACAGCCCAAAGAAAGTGCCGCTCATGGGACTTACAAGCTGTTTGGCTCAATGGATCGGCTTGGGCTGGCTTACTGGCTGCCTGATCCGATCCCCAGCCTCGTGGCCAAGACAAATGCAGACGTTGGCTCTTTAGTCGTATCTTTCACTTTGATTGTGGGTCCGCAAAGCGACGACGCAGGCTCGTGTGTGGAGCCCGTGCTTTATGGAGGGGAAACCCCTCTCTTGTGTTATTGCTGGTGTTGTGTGTACAACACTTGGCTACTGTTGGTTTACATATGTCCGCATGAGAGTAAGAGTACGAGGCGGAGTGCGGAGTGCGGACACACTCGTAACTCAATCAGAAGGAGCATTCGTTTGGGTCAGATGACCCACACAGCAAAATGTGGCAGCGAGAGACACGGCGAGTTATGAACTCGGACTCGGATCCACTGCTGGTATGCCATGTATGCGGTATGCGGTAAAAGCAAGAAGGAGAACAAGCCATGCTCTGACCATAGTTGTGTGCAAGTTCTAATGAAAACCTAATTACAAAATCAGCCAATACTCTCAAGACTCGCACATAATTAAGGCGCACACTTGGCCAGACTTTGGCTCTGGCTCTCGACTGTCTGTCTGTGCGTCCCCCTTGATGAAAAACGCATTTAAAAGCCACATTAATGACGGCGACGCTGCGACCACTTTGGTAAAATGGGAAATTGCTCCGCTGCTTTCGTTGGCAGCGTTTGGCTCTCCACCAGATTCTGTTCGGGTCGTGTTGTTCGCTCCACCGAGTATTCCGCTGCTATGCTTTTTTTCGTTCATCTTCCCGTAGAGCCCAGAGAAGGCAGATATCGGGCTGGATGCTCATCGAAGACACAAACACACACAGGTTGTTCTTGAGCTGTGCGCTGCGTTTTCAGCGCATTTTTAGTTAATTTACCAGGAAAAACATTTGAAATTCTTAAAAAAGTAGCAACAAGTAGTTGGCTGGTCGATCGGTTGCTCGATCGGTTGCTCGATCGGTTGGCTCGGGCTAGAAAAAAGTCACATCGCATCGCTGTCTGCACAACGCCTTATCATACACTCATCAAGCATCGATCTCTTCAACTATTAGAATAAGCTGAACCCATTTTGGTTGATATTTGCCATTAAAGGAAACAAATTCAATCATCTGCAGCATTTAATCTGGTTCGAAATTTAAACGCAAATAAAGTAGTTTCCTTTCTCCTACTTTAAGCGATAATTTGCCAACTTCCCCTTGACTTGAAAAGAGTATCCAGCGGTTTCCGTTTTGCCTACTTTGTTGCTCGGTTTGTTCTAAAGCTGTTGAGTTTTCTTCTCTATTTTGTTTGTTTGTAGTTTGTCGCCACCGCCGTTGTAGCATAGACTAAAAATCGCATTCGATCATTTATGGGATTTTATTTGGCGCGTCAGTGAATGCTGCTAAGCAATTTATTTATGACATTTTTTGCTAGCCGACTGGCCTGGCTGGGGATAGGATACGATGGGATGCAATGGGATGGGATGGGTTGGCTGGATTGGTTTGGTTTGGTTTGGTTTGGCCGCCGCCTCAGCGGTGGATTCGTGCAGAAATTTCTGCAACGCATCGAAATAGTTGCAAGGCAAAGTCTCTGCCTGTTGCTGTCTGTTGCAAGTTCCATATTCATCAGATGCGACACTCTTCCTTCTTGGTGTTGTTGTCTTGTCGATGCCTTGCCTTGCCTTGGCTTGTCTTGTAGTTTTTCGTTGGCTCTTTTTCTATCGAAAACCAAACTGGATTTCGTCGTAAATGATGCGCTGCGTATCTCGGAGGATTGCAGTTGCGACTGCTGTTGATTTTGCCATTGCATTTTAATTAAGTGCATTTTAATGAGGCACCATCAGACCATCGTCATCATCATCACCATTACACAGGCTGGGAAGTATCTCAGGTATCCCGATCTCACATTGATTCCATTTCAGAATAATTCTCTTCTGTTTAGTTCGTTTCAGCTAATTATTAAGCCTATTTAGATTAGTCTCCGCTCTTGTGGCCTCAGGGTCTCTGTGTATTGCGGTTGCTACTGCCGTCACCATCCATGTGCTAAAACTGTTTGTTTTAATTCGATTTTCTCATCCTGTATCCTATTTCATGCGATTCGAAATGACAGGTTCAGGTGCTCTACTCTGCTCTGCGCTGCGGCATACCAGTTTGTCGGTTAGACTGGACTTTATGCAGATTTAATTTATTCGTTAGTGCATCTGTGAAACCATCAAGCCGAACATTTTGCTGCCTCTCCACATCAGTCTCACACTCACACTCTCCTCGTTCCGCTTCCCTTTCAATGGAAAAGGGGCAAAAAGTTGTTCCATTTTCATTTTTTCAAATTGCGTAATTTTCATTAGTTTGCTGCATTTGCAGACAAATTAAGAGCTGCTGCTGCTGCTGCTGCTGCTGCTGCTCAGCCTTCTCCTCTTTGCCCTAACCCGAGTGCATCCAGCCAAAGTGCGTATCTGTGAGATACGCATGCAAATACTGCCGACTGCTGCAGGACCACCCTCTGATGCACTGGCTGCTGCTGCTGCTGCTGCTGCTGCTGCTGTGGTTTTCAATTTCTCTCTCAATTTTTATACATTTTTTTCCAGCCTTTTTGTACGCAAATAATTGTGAATTTTTCCCTCGTATTTTTGTTGGCAGTAGCCTCATTGTTTGGCTTGGTTGGGATACACTTTTTTTTCTATGCACACACATGGGATATATTTTTTATTTTTAATTAAAAGCGGAAGTAAATGGCAGGGGAGGGATGGTTAGGATTGGTTGAGTTTGGTTTGCTTTGGTTTGGTGACTCGTCAAGTGCGTGGGTGCGTGGCACTGCCGGGCACTTTGGCCATTCCATTCCATTCCATTCCATTCCATTCCATTCCTACGGCTCTTGCTGTAGTGTTTTGCCAACAATGCGAATTTCAGGGCATTGTTGCTGCCTCCAGCTGCCTTGCCACACCCCTTCTACACACATACACACAGGCGCAGGCATGTATAGACAGACGCATCAAATCAGCAGCGGCGATTTCAGACAGTCATCAGATGAAATGTCAAATGCGTTTCCCTGCCACACAGCCAAGTGGGCAAACAGAGGCGCAGCATAGCGGCATAGCATCATAGCTGTCGTCCACGTCTACTGGAAATGTTAGATGCTGCAGCTCCTGGCTCCTGGCTGCTGGCTCCTGGCTGCTGGCTGCTGCATAGATGACACTGCCACTGCTTAGAGAGCTCAAACTAAACCAAACTCAACAACAATAAAAACATGGCAACAATCCACAAACTGAAGAGTTTTTCAAATAACGAAAAAAGAGGGGAAAAAATGCGAGTGAGTGGGAGCGGAAAAAAGGGGAAAAAATCGAGAAAATTAAAACAAAACAAACAGCAAACGCATCATCCAGTGGATGATGGCATCCACATCATCATCCTTTGGATACTCAGCCCTGCCCTGCCCTGCCCTGCCCTGGTCCTGGTCCTGTTCCACGCATGAAGAGATTTCGGTTTAGCTTTTGATTGACGAACTTGCCTCGTTGTTTGTCCCTGTCCCTGTCCCTGTCCCTGCCTGCCAGCCACTGACGCTTTTCACTCAAACCCATCAACGTCAGCGACGCATTCAAATCGTTTTGATGGACTCGGTCTCATCCTCAGGGCCCCGCTCCCACATCCCATAAACAAGGAAACAAGGAACAAAAAAAAAAAAGCTAGAAGGATGGATTGGTATGCAACATAAGGACTCTAGGATACCCACGACTCCTCTGACTCCTCCTGACTATCCAAGCAGCCAGAGGAAACCAAGCGACTACCACAGGAAGGGTACAATGCACATATTCGAGTATACCCTTGCTGGCTGAGCGAGTAATGGGTACTGCACAAAATGGCTGAAAAATGGTATGAGCCTGGCACAATATTTGTATTTTACGCAATTTTTACTGACTGACAGCTGGTGAGCTGGGGGGGGGGGGGGGGCTGCCTGCCGACTGTCGACTGATTTGCAAACCGATTTGCTACTTTGTTCATGTCAGTCAGTCCGTCCGTACATTGTGGATGTTTGCCCAGCGATTCATTGTCTTTTGGCTTATACTTTTTTGCTGATTGAAAGTTTGTGCGACAATTGTTGTGGCGTCATTAGGAAATGTGGTCCAGAGTCCAATTAAACAAAATGCACGACCAGGGGGCGGAATCAACTTCCCATGGATACTCAGATAATACGCAATCAATGGAAATGTGCACTAAAATATGCATAATCCACTCTTCATTTATATTTCTATCCTCCAGCGTCATCACTCATACGCAGCGTTTGCCCATTTTCACAGCTGCCCCTCTCAGCGGCCACCGCTTTGGGCATTATTCGCTTAGCTATTTACTTCCACTGCAACGCCTTTTCACAGTTAATTTGCGTTAAAATATGCCAGCGCATGCAGAAGCAGCCGTCACGCTTCCAGTCCTCACACCCTTTCAGAGGGTAACACAATTCCGACTGAAAGTACTTCCCAACCCACAAAGATTCTGCTCTGAAGTGTACCTAAAGTTTCGGCACTCGATGCTCCCCTTATCTTCTTGCTGCAATTAAATTAGCCAGCAGTAAAGTTGCTGTGTTCTGGCTGTGGCAAGGATGCTGTGCGGCACAGGCAGTGGGAGGCTCTGGATAAACTGTTGCCAAAAAGTTTTAAGCTGCATTTCAGGGCTGCTTTCACACCCGAAAAACTTTTGCACGAACAAAGTTTGAGTGGCGCTTGCCTGTCTTGTTCTCTGATCTTCTCATGGCCATAATCTGTGACGTCGGCCCTGGCTGTCACCCACAGAGTTTAGCATATTTTGGAGTTGATATTTTGGCCAGTTTTGGGCAAAACTACTACCCCAAAACTTGTTGCAAAGGCCAACATGTTGCACTTGTCTGTGGCTGCCTGCACTTGTTGCCTCTGTCTGTGGCTGTGTCTGACTGAGAGAGAGAGAGAGAGAGTTAATAGCACGACCTCAACACACACACAGACACACACAGACACAGAGTGTTTTGACTGTCAGATGCCACAGCTCGTTATTTGGCTCATGTCCTTGTGGCTGTTTTGGGTCAACATCAGGCCAGGCAGACAGACTGCCAGGCAGCCAGGCAACCGGGCAACCGGGCTTGTGTGTGAGCTTGTGTTTCGGCATTTGAATGCGTTGTAGTGGGATAATTGGAAACACATTGGGGTCGTTTAGGGACACTTGCCGAGTGTCATTTACATCTAATTAGTTTGAGAGCCCATTCAGGAGGGAACCCGGATGCATATCAAAGTCACACAAAATATCTCCTCGTTTATTTCGCATTAAATAATTAGTTACGACTATGCAAATTTGAATATCGGCTTCAAGCGGAAGTCGAGGCATGCCAGAGTCCAGAGTGGAATAGTTTGCAGTTGCTGGCCAGCCGGAATGTGGTTTATGATGATGCCATAAATATGCACAACATCTTTGGACGCTTTTATGCATGCTCGCTGCATGTTTACTTGGTGCATCTCAATCACATATTTATTTTGGGATGCTGAGGAAATATTAGCCACTTATTTACTTGGGTCGCTGGGTATCTCCAGCATCTATTTACTTAGGTCCAAGTCGTACAGCCCTCTCGCTCGACTCTCTTTTCTGGTTGTTGAAGTATTTCAAATGAGTTCTAATGGATTTTCGTAAGATTTCGATCGTTAGTCCCAGGTGCAGTGTGGGACGTTGACGCATTGACAAACGAGCATTGAGCTCTCCTCTTCGATTGCTCTGCGCATCATCATTCGCTTTTTGTGTTATTTGTTTTGTTCCGCTCAATCCGCGGATTGACACGAAAGACAGCGACACTAAGAGAGTGAGAGGGAGAGAGTTAAGCAGCCGAAGCGAGACAAAACAAAACCCAAACGCGACCACATATAATAGCCTCAACGCCCTGGGCGGGGTACGCCAGTAGTAATAGCCAAGTGGAGTCGCGAGCATCGTCTGGAAATGATTCGGCCACTTAAGCGGCTGATGCTGCTGCTGCCTACTGCCACGTTGCCAGTGATCATATGGCTGCTGCTTTTGTCCTCTGCCACGGGCACGGGCACGGCCACGGCCAAGGCCAATGCTATGACAGGTGAGGTGAGTCTCTACAACGAGGCCGACAACGTAGTCAATGCGGACACCAATACACTGCTGCCCCACCTGCGCACAACGCCAAAGGGCAAGCTGGTGCAGTTCATAAACATCTTCTGCGGCGACTGTCGACGCTTCGCACCCACCTTCAAGGGCGTGGCGCGCGAGCTCTACAAGTGGAAGAGCTTGCTCAGCATTTACGCCGTGGACTGTGCCCAGGAGAGGAATGTGGCGATCTGTCGCGACTATCAGATCCTGCATACGCCCACGCTGCGCTACTTTCCGCCAGCATTCTCTGGCAACGGGCTGGGCACGGAGCTGCCCACCATTAAGCCCAAAGAAATTATCGACCTCTTGGCCGGCTACTTGGCCAAAGACTTCAACGCGGGCCAGCTGCACTTTGAGCCGCTTCGACCCGACAGCGATGCCAATGCCACAATCGCAGAACACGTGGGCCCAGGCCACACCGAGGAGTATATTGCGCTTGTCTTCCAGCCGAAGGGCTCGAACATTGGCAGAGACACGATCTTCGAGATGCTGCCATATCCTGCGGTGGCTGTGCGCATTGTCGATGATGCCCAGGTCTTTGCCAACTTCGGCTTGGCTGCCCACGAACAGAAGCTGGCCATCATGGACCTCGACGGCAACATTCTGGCGCTGAAGTCCACCCAAGAGTCGAGCCAAGCCTATGCGGCCAGCATTGCCGAGTATCTCGCCCAGATGGGGCGCACTCCGTGGCCCCCACTACCCACGACCAGAGCACCTAAGACCAGTAGTGTCCGAAACAGGGAGAAGCTGGCAATCCTCGCGACTGTGCGACGGGAGTCGCCGAGAGTCTATCGAGCCGATCTGGAGCAGGCAATCGACAAGCTGCTGCACATTGAGTTGCCCAAGGCAGGGCTCATTGAGGGCGATAATATGACAGCCCTGCGAAACATCATCGCTGTGCTGCGGTACAACAATCCCCTGAACAAGGATGGCCAACTGCTGCTCACAGCACTCGACGATTCCGTGCTCAGCATCAACCGCTTGACGGGAAACGAGTTCGTGGACCTGGTCAAGTCCAAAGAGAAGGGACTGGGCAATGTGTTCAAGGCAAAGCGCGATATTGGCTGCATTTCCACGCGTCCCTTCCTGCGCGGCTTCACCTGCTCCTTGTGGACGCTGTTCCACCACCTCACGGTCGCGGCTGCCAGGCAGCCAAACACGCTGAAGGCTGGATCCGTGCTCTCGGCCGTACACGGCTTTGCCAAGTACTTTTTTGGCTGCTCGGATTGTGCCCAGCATTTCCTGGCTATGGCTGAGCGCAAACACATCGAATTGGTGGCGGACCACGATGCCGAGATCCTCTGGTTGTGGGAGGCCCACAACGAGGTCAACAGTCGTGTGGCTGGCGATACCACAGAGGATCCCGAGTTCCCAAAGATTCAGTTTCCCAGCACGACGGCTTGCCCCGCCTGCCGGCACGAGAACTCCCAGTGGAATCGAACCGAAGTCTTGAGATATTTGAAAAACATTTACGACACGAAGAACTTGAGCTTCTACGGTCTGCCCACCTCTCGGGGATACGAATGAATAAGAATATGAATATGAATATGAATATGTTATGTTATGTGCCAATATCAACTTTAAAGTTAATCGAAATATACAAACAAAATAAGACCATTAACCACCCATTCGGGTATTGAAATAAGAAAAATGGCTAAGGGTTTGCACAGAATGTTGAGAAAATAAAGAGTAATACCAGCACACCATGACCTATGAAGGAATATTCATTTGATCTGTTCCGACTACTGGCTACTCACCCTGTCTTTCTTTGAGTTCAGATGCTTCCTCAATCGCAACAATTGAACATGAACAGAGACTGTAACACCAGTCGTACTGTGACTAATTTTGCATTCGTTGCCGTTGTCACGTACATTGGATCCGCCTATTGAAATATTACGCAATTAAATGTGACAAAACCGAAACAAACCAGACTTGGGGCTTCGTTGAAAGCTCTAAAATACGAATTCCAACTTCCAAACTCTATGCCAGTTCTACTTAACGGAGCAGCTTTCCAGGATGGCAACGTTTGGCTGCACGGGGACATTGTTGAAGCCTTGGCCAAGAATTCCCTGAGTGCCGTTTTCTTCTATACCCAAACGGAGGAGAGGAGAGTCCAGCATACTGCTTGAATGTGCTCGGAAGCAGTCAATCAGCCAATAAATTTGTCCACAACCAGGCTAAAGATGGCATAGAAATCCCCATCCATAAGCGCATCATCTATCGATCGAATCATCGAGTCCTGTGGTATATCTTTTGCCGATCTTATCTCTAATAAATAAATGTACTTACTATGGCGAAGAATGTGTGAGGCGAATGAGAGAATGTGTGATATGAAAAGTGCATAAATTGAGTAAATTGAGCCCTTAGGTTAAATGAAGCGTCAGGGAGGAGCACAATCCCAATGCATGCCACAAGCCACCGAGGAGGGTCAGGGCGCACATCAAACCGACCTGTACATGAATTATTTATAGAACATTTTTGCAAAATATCTACGCACTAATTTGCGTAAAGTAATCGATGTGGTGGAACAATTTTCACGCATGCACACATGAGAGGGGCGACGGTGGCGGTGACGTGACCCAGCAGCAGGTTGAATCGCCGCACCTGACAAATGGACTGACTATTTGGGGGTGTGGGCATGCTACGACTGGGTGGCAGGCGGGCGTTCAGTCATGCCCAAATAAGCCAGCGGCAAGCGGAAGCTAAAAATTACCAGCTACCCCTCCATGCAACCCAAGAGCCAGGGACTCGGGAGGGACCCACACACACTGCAAGTGCAACGCCCACAAAACTTTCTTCATTGTGCGTAAATTGGCACCCCTCAAACAGGCTAAAACCAAAACCAAAGCCCAAACCAAACCCCCCTTAATCGACGCACTCACTTTGCCTTTATGTAATGATGTGTATGTAAAATGTATAATATACATAAATAAATAAAATGCACGCAGTCAAAAGAAGTGCGCCGGAGAAGAGGTTTGTGGTTGGCGGTTTGAGGTTCGGCTTTGGGGCGGTGTCAGTGTGCAGCTTATCGATATTTTTCACTCCCTCACCCAGCGGATGGTCGAGCAAAAATCGCTTACATAACCTCTGCAGGCAGGCCCTGAGCGGGGGAGGAGCTTGGCGGCAAATTAAATGCCAGGCCGTGCACAACTGTACCACGCGTACGCGTGCCTGAATTTTGTGCGTGCCTTGAAATTGAAGGTTCCTCAAGGCTTCAGCGGGATGATAGGCCGTAAATTTTCGAGCATGCACGCAGCGATATCTGGGCACCGGAAACCGGAAACCAGCGCCCGTTTTGTAGCATTGCCATTGCAATCCATTTATCTTGGATACGAGTACCAAAGGGCGCCCGAATCGAGCCAGTAAAATGCGTAAAATATAGACAAAATGTGTCTTGGGTCTAATAGCAAACGGATATTGTGGCTTTTGCCTTATGAATTTCCAGATAGTCTGTTCGGTCTGCCACTCTGGTAGGGTCCTATCCCGGAAGCCCTCTAATTGGGCGTTTGCTGGGGTCCAACTCATTTGCATAACGTAATTGCCAGCTCGAAAAGAGATTACCCCTAACCCCTCCCAATCCCTCGCTCTCTCGGCTGACATGGCATGACTGGGTTTTGGCATGCCTTAACCAAAAACAATAACCCCCCCGTCCAGAATTGTGCACAAATTATTGTTTAGGCATTTAAATTACAAAAGAAACGCAAAAAAAAACACACACACACACAGACAAGAAGGGAATTAAAATGGCAAGCAATAAAATGCCAGCTGAAGAAGCATCAGCTGTAATCCGGGGGGCCCGGGCCCCTCGTTGTTATAATTATGTAAAAACAGTCTAAAGATTGACTTGACTTCAACAAACACACACAGCTGCAGCTGGTGCTGCCACTGCCCCATGCCACTCTCTGCTGTGGCAAGCGCATGCGAAGCTAACATAAATTTGTGGCGGGGAGGGTGGCAGCACAAGCAGCACAAGCAGCACAACCTGGTAATTATCAGTGCCTTAGCGGCAAAGGCAACATTGTCTTTCTATCTTGACTGCGTCGACAAGGCGGCTACCGTTCGTACCCCAGCCTCCCCCGCGCCCCTCCACAACCCATCTTCAAATACACGCAAAAAATGTAAAGTGAAAATATATTTTTTTTTTTTAAGCCACTTGCGGGTGAATGGGTGCAACGGAGAAGGACAGTCAAGGTGGGGGGAGGAGGTTGGATCAAATGGGCGAGCACCGCAATTTGCCGTTGGCTGGAGGGCATTCCCTCCCCACTAGCCCTCCCTGCACCCGGCCCACACCATTTTCTATGCCGAACTTGAGCATTTTAGCATGTAGCAACATACAATTAAAAAAATTATGAATAGAAAAGATGGCAGCGAGAAAAAAAGAGCAACAGAACCCAGAACGCAGAACTCAGAACTCAGGGCTGGAAAAATGTTGATTAATGAATAATACGCAAGGCAGGGATGAAGTTTACCACCAAAAACCACTTCCATCAATTCAGTTTACACCTGAGACGAAGCGCGGTAAATGTTTGAATTATTTATTTTGACAATCCTTCAACATTTCAGTGGAAACACTAAGAGTTTCCAAGGAAGGTCTGTAGCCATTGCCAAAGAAATGAAATCTTCCCACCATTATCATAGCATGTCTGAAGCCCTATTTTTTGCACTTTTAATAGGCTAATACTAGCAAATTCAACAAAAACAAAACGTCAAGCCGAATGCAGTTTGGCAACAATTTTCCCAAACTTTGTTTGGCACACAACCAACCCACACCCCACACCCCCCCCCCGGGCCAACCCTCAGCCACAATTTGCGGCAGCGCGTAATTAAAACAATTTATGTATAATTTCTGTACAAGTGCAGTCCAAAGTCAAGCCGAGCACCAAGACTAAGGCATGGCTCTGCTGCTGTGGCCCCCTGCCCTGCCCTACCGACGGGCTTTTAAATAATAATTTGCTTAGTTTATGAAGTGCCATGTGTGTATGAGTGGGTGCGTGTGTGTGTGTTAGGTAGTGATTCTGCCCCTGACTCTGTCCCTGTCCCTGTCCCTGTCTCAACTCGGCCTCTGGCTACACTGACAAAACGCAACAAAATAATTCATTCTTTGATGACGAAGAACATTTCAAATCAAAATGCGTTTGTGTGTGTGTTTTTCTTTCAGTGCAGCAGCGGTGGCGCACAATTTACTCACTTGGTTGCATTTTAACATATTTCGTTACGTTTTCTGCCAGGCAGAGAGTCAATTGTTGTTGCTTTTTCAGTTGGCTGGCATGTGTTTTTGTTGCGCTGTTTTTTCGCTTTTTTTTTTGTTGCACTTACCTTCGGTTTAATTCGTTTGAGTTTCATGCAACAGAAGCAGCTTCTGTGGCGGGATTTCATGTGCATCTGCTACTGGGTTTCTTTCTCTCAAGTCGAAAAATATTTGTGCACGCAAAAAATGTTAATTGCCGCAGAGCAGAGTAGAGGCAGGGCAGGCAACATCAGCAAAAAGCGAACCATCAATGTGGCCGGGGCATTAAAATATTTAGGTTGCTATTGCTGCTACTTGCAACTCTTCCCAGTCCCAGGCCAAGTCAGACCAGGCCCCAGACCCTACCTGCACTCAAACCCAGTCAGCCTCAGCCTCAGCCTCAGCCTCAGCCTCAGTCCCTGCCACAGCCGTTAATGCAACTGCAACTGTAACAAATTGCAATGTCGCACATCTGTCTTGGCTGGCGTTTGTCGTTGCTCTGCCTAAAAAAAAGGCACTAAAACAGCAAACAAACAAAAAAAAGCTGGAAAACTAAAGGCCAGGGCCCAGAGACCTTAGACCAGGTTCAGGTCCAGCCGTGGACTCATATTTATTTTTGCTAAAACTCCAACAAAAAACTGTCGTTCTCCTGGTTGTTGTAGTTGTAGTTGTAGTTGTAGTTGTGGCTGCTGCTCTTTCTGGCTGGCATTGGCAATGCCAATTACCGGCGGCCGGGAACCCTAGCAATTTGGCCATATCCGGCCCCCATGGCCGGGATGGGATAGGATGGATGTTTGGCTGGGCCCCCAAAGGAAAAATCAGGTTTTTCCTTCACTTGTTCGACAAAATAAAATATGTATGTTGGCAGCATCTTGATTTTTAGAGATTTTTTTTCTCCCCACTTTTCCTGTTACATCGCCAGTTTTTTAGAGATCATAAAAAATAATAGAAATGAGATTCAATTTCAGACGGAAAATGGTTCAATTTGATTAGATATTTGTGCTGGCATCAGGAAGAGAGCTGGAAAAGCAAACCAAATCAAGGGTATTTAGCCAACACACCTTGGCAGTCATTAGCCACATTTAGTTGCCTGATGATCATGGCTTTTACTGCTGCTGTTTCTGTTTCTGTTTCTGTTTCTGTTGATGATGTTCCTCTTCTGTTTTCTGTTTTCTGTGTATCTTTTTTTTTTTGTATTGCAACTAATGAATATGGAACTTGACTCTGCCTCTGTACTGGGAGTCTGCTGTCTCTTGTCATGTCTTGGCCCCGGCTATTACAAGATTTGAGTTGTCGCGCGTTTTGGACGCGTCATGCAGCTAGTTTTTGTTGCTGTTGTTGTTTTGGTTGTTGTTAGTGTTGTGTTTGTGCCACACATTGCCGCACGATTCCAA